AATTACATATCAGTTCGTAGGATTCCCGTGTAATTTTGAAACCAGATATCTAACAAATAATTACCATGTTTGACTTCATCTTAGTTATTCTTATTAAAAAAAAAAAAATTGAAAATGTGGTTTTTGTATACATAAAATCTTAGTTTACCAAGCAATGTTATTCAACATGTGAGTCTTGTGACTACCCACATGTGAGTCTTATGTAATTTCAATGGTAAAAAGGCTATTATTTATTTCAATTTGAAATATGTTATATGGATAAAATACCAGTTTTGCGAAAGGAGTTCTCAGATGACACGACACGACTAGTCAATCTATATTAAATAAAATAATCAAATTATGTTTTAACGTGTGTTTTGAAATAAATAAACTTATATCGTGTGTAAATATATGAATTTATAGATGACACTCTATCCTATCCATTGGTTTCATATCATTTTTGTGGTAAATAATTGCACATTTTTTTTTTCAATCTTGAATATTAACAAAATATGTGAAGCATCATATAAATTGTTGTTGTTGTTGGAAAGTCTAACTGTTAATAGGTTAACAATTGTACTTTCTTACAAAAATTAAATACTTATGTTATGAAATGTTATATACTTTTATTTGAATTTTAGTTTAGGTTATGAAATATAAATGTAAAGTATGTATAATTGCTTAATTGTAGAAATTGTATTATTGTCTAATCAGCATCTACGATGCTCTGGGTTCAACCGCAAAAAATCATATGTCATCTAAGAAATAGACTCAATCTAAAAAATATATTATCCAATGCAAATAAAAGTATATTGGGTCGTGCTGATGTGGCAGTCAGAAAAAAGTGACTCGTTCTAACCTTAAGTCTATTTTTGACCAAGTAGAGACCTCGTCTCTTTGTATTAGAGTGAATTTTGTTAATTTTAATATTTTATAAAGTTTTATCCATGTCCTCCAAAACTTAGGTTTATTTACATGTCACATAAGACTAGACTCAATGCATTGTAAATTCTCTAATAAGTTAACAATTAGAATATCTTAATTACAAAAATTACATATACTTTATAGTTATGAAATGTTATTCTTTTATTTGTATTGCATTTTAGATTATTACATTTAAATATATTTATAACAAAATATATTATTACTATCCATTACCCTATCATTAAAAAAAGGGACAAGGTATTGCCGCTTGCAATAAAAGTAGAGCACAAAAGAACAATTAATAGTAGCATTAAGCGTCCATCAATGTTCCATTGTAATTAATAATTAGCGAATATTTCAGTACAAACGTCAATAAATAAATCGAATTACTAAAAGAATAACGAATGAAGTAAAAGAAAAATAAATCAAACTGAGGATAAAAAAAAAAAATGTAAATGTTACGTTACGGAACCACGACGTCGGGTTTATAACCAATAGATTATCATGTAGTCGTTTGGAATAGTTGATCTAACAGTTGCAAACTCGACGAAATGATTCCGTAACGGGACTGTAGCATCTCCGTAAAAAAACATCAATTAGTAATTCAAATATTATTAATACAAACATATATATATATATATAATGGAGTTTCAAGTACAACAATTCATCACAATATATCCATCTTCTTCACATACTAAATAAAAATTTCAGTTCATATCAAGATAATGAGACCTAAATTAAGGCAAAATTTCATTTTTGGTCCTCTAAGTTGGCCTCTGTCCAAAAAACCACCCCGC